GAGAGAGAGAAGAGAGAGAGAGAGAGAGAGAGAGAGGCACGGGTCAAGCTTGGCCCGGACCAGCACATCCGTTCGAGATCGAGATGAATCCACGCCCAATATAACACGGCCGCTTCCTTCCGCAGGCAAATTCAAGTTCCGAGTCTGGCGGCAGGAGTCGGGCGAACGGGCCTGGTGGTTAGACGCCAGCGAGGACGGCAACATTCCCGACGACGAGCCGGCGAGTGGCCGTTGCACCACGAGCCCGGGGCCCGCCAGGAAGCAGCAACGCTCTTCGCCAGCGGGCGGCAGCCGACTCCGGCACCAGCAGTCCGGCGAGCGCGCCTGGTGGATGAGCGACGACCCGGAGAGCGTCCCCGAAGGCGTCGAGGTGATCCCCGTCTCCCCGGTCCCGAGTCCCGCGCGGTCCTTCGCCGGGAGGCCCACGCGCGTCGACTCCGGCGAGAAGCCTTGGTGGCTCGACAGCTCCTCCAACGTCCCCGAAGGCGTGCAAAGGATACCGACCGACAACAGCAACAGCGACTCCTCCGAGTCCCTCGAGAGAGTCGACATCGGGATCGCCCGCGGAGCCAGCCACTGCCTTGCCAAGTTTCCCCTCGACGACGAGCCCCTGGGAGATCGTGCCAGCCCTGAAGGGGTACGACTCACGTCCTTACCGAGATCGCGCTTCGCGGCTGCGAGTGGCTTATCGCCGATCCAGCCGTTAACCGATCGCGGCTCCTCGGCTGCCATTCAATGTGCCATCCGACGATGCGCCACACGCGGCCGCCATTCGCTCCGCTATCCTAAGAAAAGTCGCTCGCACTTATTTCGAGCTTATACGAGCTTTTGGCGATGCGATGCGTCACCTATATCGGCAAAATCGGCCGATCCCGTGTGCATCGAGAGGACAAGCTCGATTCGGGCGTCGATGTGATTAACGGAGATAACGGCCACTGTTGTGACAAGTGTGATTAATACGAAAGCTTGTGTCGGACGAATTTTACCTCGGCTGAGGCAAAATTTCTTTTGCCACACGTAATGCTGGAATAATAAATGTAATAGACGTCCTCGAAAGTATTGCCATTGGCTAACAAAATGATGGACGTCGAGTCGAGGAGGCAAAAATTCTTCACGAGCACGTGTATTTTATTTCTAAAGATAATACGATATATTACCAACGTTAAGAAACTTATAGCTCGACTGATTTGACGGTAGGCCGTGATTTTATAAATTAGTGGTTTTCATTTCATTTTATTTGGAGACGGCGTTCGTGTACTCGCGAAACAAGTCTTTTATTTTATGTATGATGTATACATTTCAAGGCTTCGAGATCTTTCATTTAAGAAGAAGTCGGCAATGCACTTGAGGGACGCTCGTTTGAAAAATGGAAGAAAGACGCGTGCGTTGGTAAATGTATTGAGTTGAAAAGTGTAGAGGTCGAAATGTCAAAGTCACAATTGATAGATTAGAGTGAGAATGAATTTTCATCAGCATTTGTTGTATGGATATTTTAGTGGTATTGTTGGATTATTAAGTCATGGTTGGTAATCGAATAATGCGATTATTTGTAAACGATACTTATATTGCTTAAGTCCTTTGACAGCTACTTTGCCTGTCCGCTTTCCCGCACAATTTTACCCAACTTTCCGTACATACAAACGTATAATATGCATGCAACTCACGTTCATATAGACAAAGTAAAACTCTGCCCATTACAGACTATCTTATAAAACGTTAAATTCCCTCGGCGAATCTTCTGTTGTAACAATGTGCACGCTACAAAAAGAAAAGAAAATAAGCAGAATAAAAAGCCAATTAATTATACGCAGCACTGCATACTTAAAAAACATAGAAATAATAATAGAACAAAAAAGGAAACGTTGTATTTGTCAATTGCGAGCAATTTTAAACAAACACTCTAACATTACTTGTATATCACGACTTAATCTTGCCCAAACATTATCCCAAACGCGTGTTTCCTCGCGTATAAAAGGAATAAAGCCAATTAAAGTTGAAAGTACGTGCAATTTTACAACTCTCTCTCTCTCTCTCTCTCTCTCTCTCTCTCTCTCTGTCTCTCTCTCTGTCTCTCGAGGCTTATTAATTTGCAGTTCCAAATAAAATTCCGACTTACCATCACGACGTCTCATTTCTTAACAAAAAATTCGCGTTAGATAGTTCCCTAAGCATGCGCTTCATCGGAATTGTAATGTGGTGTCGCTTGCAAGGAGACGAGCCAAATTCGAGAGTAAAAACATGTCGATCTTACTACTTCAGATCGAAAATCCGCCGGATCCACCGGATAGTTATGGCGGAAGAAGCTCACCCTACGACAATGTCACGACGACTCGTCAAAAGCCACCGAGGAGATCGGCGCCACGGAAGAGACCAGCCAACCTTCCGCTCTTTATAGGCAATCACACAAACATCGACGATCTTCTGGGGGACACGACTGCACCGAGTCACCGCCATAAAAACAATCTCCCGAACGACAAAGGTTTTTATCCAATTCATTTGATTGCGTGCCCACGATCTACTAATTGGCTCATAGAGAGCTTAAAGCGAAGCTTAAAGTCGTTAAGCCATTGGGAATATTAAATTCTCGGAGCTAAATGACCACGGCGGCTAAGCTCTGTGCATAAATATCTGAATATGGAATGACGCCTGTGGATCTAAGCCTTTTGAAATCACGTGGATGCATTTTACTCGGCTCGCTGCGAATGCCGTGGGCGCAATTCTCATTGTCTCGCCCATAAATAATCGAACGATACGAGCGCAACGTTGTGCCATTAGTCACCAATAACGCACTCGAGATAAACATTTGGATTTCGCGAGACTTTCATGGTAAATCCAGCCTCCCACCCGATCCATGTTATTTGGCCTTTCGGCTCTAACAATTGCTCTTGTGCCGATTAAATAAAGCTCGTTCGATTATGAGGGAAAGGTAGCTGTAACGGCCCTGCCACATCATTCTTACGGGGCATTTCTATCCGTTTATCGATTTCAGCCCATGAATTATGAAAATTTGCAGAGTGCTGGGGGCTCTTTCGAAAGAAACTTACTCACTCCACTTCGCGACGCAAGAGCATATTAAAGCTCCCGATCGCCCATTAAAGAGCTTAATAAAGTACACGTATTGGAAGTGAATTTGAAGGATTCGCCAAAAAGATGAGGCAGACGATGAGAACGATAAACCGTTTTTTAATTCGTCGTATTTACGATTGGAAAAGCGAGCCTCGATAATCAAACCCAATTCACGCCCTGTATTATATATACATATAAATGCAGATACACACACACACACACACACACACACACACACACACATATATATATATATATATACAGATAAATGGATAGATAGATTGATTTCGTATGCAGATGCGAATAATGACTTTAGCGAGGTAAACTCATTCACGGGAGGAATGGAACAGACTTTTTCCATCGCCCCCGGGCTCTTAAGCATAGCACACGGGGAATAGGTAGAGATCCTTAGGTTGCGGGCACGCGTCAACGAACGCGCATCGGCCGAACGAATCTATCGAGGATGCATTGACTGACTGCGTCGCCCGTCCAGTTCAAGATGCGTTTATGTTTGCGAGTGCGGGCGCCGGTGGGACGCGCAAGTCCGAGCTCGTGAGTCCTCGATAATCGAGGGCAGTCGACAGCGGCGCTCCGATGAAATAATAAGGCGAGAGGAATGTTTTCGATCCCCGCTGTAGCCCTCGAGTCCTTGAAGTCGCGATTGAAAAGTGCGTTTGACGTGGCTTTGATTGATGCGCGCCATTGTGCAAAATGGAATTTTTTGTCCCGTCGTCCATATGCCCCGACTGCTCGCCGGCATAGTTTTACTATTGTCTTTAATTCTCGGTAGGCTGCATCGGGTTGAGTTGAGGATGTCGAATATTAAATTGAATTCTATTAAAATCATTTTAATTTCGGACATTTTAATAATTCAGCTTGCTTGTGCGCGCGCTGGTAATGGTCAAACATTTACGATGCCAAATGAAACGCGCGATGAATTATCGAGGAGATAAATTTTTATCGAACGTGTAAGAGAGAAAAAGTAAATTTAAACGCATTATAAGGTATGACAATTTTGACCAATTAATGATGATTTTTCGATCGTTGACGGGCGAATCGCGAAATTTGCAAATTACGATAAGATTATGTCTCATAATGTCCGACTAGCTAATAAATTAAACGGCTAGTGGTAATGAGAAACAATATATGAAAATTTTTCTTTAATTATACTCATATCTATTTATTATATAGCAAGAGTCGTATAATTGTGGCAAATTTTTCCAAATAAAAAGTCAATGTGATCAATTCAAATTAATACAAAATCAAGTCAAATTAATGTATATATATATATATATATATATATATATGTATATCAATCAATAATTCAATTTATAAATACATTAATGAATAATTCGATAAGGCATGATCGCAATAAATTGTAAAGTAACTTAATATTCAAAACAAAATTTTGTTTTTTTTTTTGCCTATTCTCACATATCTCTTTTATCGTATTGATTATGATTTAACAATGATCATTCACAAATCATAATCAATACGTTAAATAAACCTAATTAATATTTTCATACAAAGCTCTGAGCAATGTATTCTTGATATCAAAATGACGACGTCTATATTTAAAATTTTACCAACTTGGCTCAACAATTGCCGAATTAATATTTAAACGAATAGTTGTGATTTTGCAATGTAATCACCAACATTGTCTTAATTTTCAAAGACTGCCGAATCATAGACCAATTTTCAATACATTGCGCCATCTATATACATTAAATGAAAAAAATATATATATAACACTCGATTAATAAATTGAAAAACACTATTAAATTATCCTAAACGAAAGCTTAGTGGAAAGTGTATTTTTACGAAATCATAAGATTCACTGACAAATGTCGCTAGCACCTTAGACTTTCAAAATTGATTATATCGACATTAACTTCAAGATAAATGCAGCCGCGTAATAAAGCCAAATAGCCCATAAGCAAATGCATTTTGACAACTTTCGATGTCAAATAAAACACCAAATGACTGTATAATTCATTAAACAATCAATAACTTAATGGCAGATTTCATACTCAGCGCTCGGGCTTTCATTATAAAAATAAAAAAAATATATATATATTCCGGAATATGTTAGGATGTTCTACTGAAATCTTAAAGCTCCATTAAAATTTTGAGATTTTTCCCCGGGGATATATGCATCTGGTATAAACGTCCCTAAGTAATGGCCTTATACCCGAGGCTTTAACGACTTTCGTGCCTCTGTCAATTCCAGTCGAGCGAAGATTCCGTATTTACTTACAACTCCTAAAGCTGACGTCGAATGGAAAAATGTAAGCAAACAAGCGCTTTCCGATAGAGAAATGAAAAATAAATAAGAATAATGAATACGTAATGTAAATATCTCATCGCTCGCCATAGCCAATATCGGAGCACTGATTAACGAAAGGGAAAAAGGCCGGGAACGCGTTGACCGCGCTTCCTAGAAATCCTCGAGCTTAATTATTCGAATAAAATATTGGCACGCGAGTACGGAGACAAAAAGGGAAATAAACGAGAAGTACGGGAGGCCGGTGCTGCTCATCAGTGCTGATGGATATCTATAACGAGGTTACGTTTTGTTACGTTGCAGACACGCTGTCGGACAGTAGCGACGAGGAGTGCGAGGAGATAGACGCCACGCAGGTGATCATTCATGACAGCACGCCGCAGACGCCGGTGATCCAGCGAAGACACAGGCAAGTTAACGAGCTGCTGCTCGCCTATACACGTACGCCAGTTTATCGCTCGGTTGCGCGCGCGGACTCCAGAGCTTCACTACCCCCATGATAAGATCCTTGGGAAAGCCGTTTGCCGTTTCTTGGGGGGAATCGATCTCACCCTCGGCGCCGGCCAAGCGAATTGAAGATCGACGGGAGGTCCTGTCCTGCCTAACCGAGATATCCTTCAACCTCGGGCAGCGCGCCATTTATTTAGTTATAGAATGGCTCGTAGTCACTCGCGAATACGCGAATTTTCAAAGCATTCCTACACGGCCCTGTTAAAACTTCCTTGGGCAACGTCTTTCTTGTTATGAAATTCGCACAAATCAGCTCGAATGAAATCACGTTTAATTCCATTAACGATGCGCCTTTCTGTTTTTTTTTTGTTAAATCACTTTTACAATCCTTACAAACATAATTCAACTGCGGTAATGTAATTTCGGTTTAATGTTTAATCGAGCCAGTTAATTACACACTCTACAGAATAAAATTTGTAGATTATTCGCATGGCAGGTATTCTTCATCTTGGTTGGTCTTCGGCTCTTAACATAACAGACTGAAATACTATTCTTTATAATTTTCCATTGTTTTTTTTTTTTTTTTTTTTTTTTTTTTTTTTTTTTTTTATTAATAAAGATGAACTATTATTTTAACACGTAATACATTTAAGTAAAAAAAAATATATGTATATATTTATCTATAATTACTAATCCTAATATATAAAACATATAAGTAAATTCCTTTTTATACTCAATTGTTGCACTATGAAGAATATGTCTTTACAAAGTTTAGAGTATCTCGTATTAATAGTAAAATATAAACAGTAACATTGTCCTCTTGTCTCGACGTTGGAAGCAACGTGTAAATGTGCATGCAACCGTGCGTCCAAAGTGACAAAATCAATTTGTCATTTCGGTCGGAAGTATATCCATTACCCGCATTTCTTGAGAGAGCTAAACGCCCGAAACTTCGTGCGTCGTACAAATCGCAAAAGTCCAAGGCTCCAACGATTCCCCGAGCATTCTACTTGACTCGTTGAGAATACGCGCGCGAATTGATGATAACTGAAGTAAAGTTTTGGCGCGCTCGCGTTAAATAAAACGCGATACGGACACCACCACAATTGCAACAGCATCCTGACGATTGGAATTTCTTTTCTTCCAGGGACAATGACAGACCACAACCCGATGGCTACATTCCGGTAAGAGAGACTCTCAAGTTTTTTACGCCATTATATTATAATCCGATGCACGTATGAATGGCTACCGTAAGGAGAATGCGATAGACATTCGATGTCGAGTGTCGTCGTCGTCGTCGTCGTCGTCGTCGTCGTCGTCGTCGTTGTTGTTGTTATAGTTGGGAAACTCTTACTCGTAATGCACAAAAGAGATGAAAATTTAAAGTAACGAAATCCAGTTCAGCAGCATCCGATGTGGAAAACATGGACTTTCCCTCTTGGGCTAAATTTGGCCCCTACCTCTTGCCAACATTGGCTGAAGAAATTCTGAAAATCCTGAATCTATCGTAGCAAGAAAATACTATCGAACATTGTTCGATATTTTAGTCAGTGACAAAGCGACCATTGTCGATATACGGCAAGTGGCTTTCCATGACAGATTACTCTTTTTACGTTCGTATATACTCCCGCTTCGCGAAAGCTGACGAGTTTGCATGGGAAACGATGTAGTTTTCACAACAATGAAATATTCTACTAAAATTCAAGCCTTAAATTTCCAGTTAATCCAGTCCAGTAAATCTGGCGTGTCGAACGAAATTATTAATTATTAAAAAACAAAACAAAAACAAAACAAAAATATACGAAAGCTTTCATTGTAAACGTAAAGTTGACGTTGTAGTATTTTGTTAATTGGATGGAAAATGTTTGTTTCGACATTTCGAATGATCGAAGCTATCAAATGAATCATTTATTTCACTGAAAATCTCCAAAGTAAGTATCAGAAGCGAGGACAATTATTATGAATATATTTTTAAATTCTTTTTACAGGGGAAAATAAGTTTTCCAATATTACAACTACGCTAAAATAAAATAATCTTTTCAATCTCACTGTATCCTAAAACGTCAAATACAATAGTTTTCAAACTATTTTAAACTCTATAAGCATACAACATTTGTCACGAGACTTATATATTTATAAAACTTTATTACGTACCAGATTCATTTTACTGTAAAATCAATTATTCCAACAGATTTTTCTTTAAGCTTTCTCTTGCGCTTATGATACCTTCGACTATATTTACATATTGACTTTTTATACGATGAGAAAATTTTATCGTAAAAGTAATAGATTGAATATGACAAGAGCACAAGTAATTGAGTATTGGAACAGTTTGTATAATATTACGATATATTATAAACTAGTTCTGCGATCTAATATTGTTATTTTAATTATTAAGTATGCCGAGAATAATTATTTCTTTATGCGTCTGAGAATAACATTAAGGAAATTATTAAAATTATGAAAATAGCATTGCTCTGTTATGGAGTTATTGAAAAGGAAAGCAGCTATTGAAAATAGTAAGTAAACAATTTAAGCACTCGTTATATTTATGATAATTTATAGTATGCATTTTAATACTGAAAATTTAAAAGTAAATACCAATGTTTAAGTGCACAATGGATAATTAAACGTTTAATTACCGATTAACCTAACTATAATTACCCATACCCTACAATTAATACAATTAAAACAGTGATTTTAATTATGCATAAGTAAACTTACAGTTACGAAAACAAACTCTTGGTTTATATTTTAAATAAAATACTATACACTTGCTCGCTCGATCATTTCATTCGCAACTCAAATTATCAACAATTGCTAATAATTTTTTCACAACTCTCATTATTCTCTATTCCTGAGGCATTCTTATGTTGTTTTACATACTTATCTATAAAAATAATCTAAATACATTTATTAAATTTTTGTATGATTTTCCATTTATTACATAGTCACAATACAATAAGATTAATATACGTAGGCTTTTTTCAATATAAATCAACGATGTACAATTGATCGTATTAATGTATATGCAAAATAAAAGACTTTGTGCAAATATAGTAAAAATTTTCTCACGCTATTCAAAAAAAAAAAAAAAAAAAAAAAAAAAAAAAAAAAATCTCTTTCTTTCCATTCGCACGCATGAATAATAAATAATAAAAATGTATGACGCCTCATTTCAATGATTTATATCGACTTATTTATGGATTCATTAATACAGTGTATGTGTGATTTATCCGCGTGCGCCTGAGTTTGCACGTATTTATTGGTGTATAATCGCCAGCGAGCGAGCGTACGAATATACGCATACGCATATGCTTACACATCAATAAAATGTCGCGGGGTTTCGAAATTACTGAAACCCACTTCCGGCGTAGGTCAAAGGATGAAAAAAGCATGGCTTTTAGCCGATGGGACCAAGGGAGAAAGCCCTATTTCGTATAAAGCTCGTTTCACGAGACGTTTCACGAGTTTGTACTTACCTCGTACTTGGTACTACATGTAGTACGCAGTCATTGGCGCGCGACGTATTTATTACTCTCTGTACATTCCGTAGGCTCGAACTAGGCTTTGATTTATCGACGAATGGCGCGTCGATCGCTGTAGTTGGTACCCAGTAAAACATTGTTTGAGGCTATTCGCCAATTAAAGGACTCGGCAGAGTGAAAGAGATAGAGATAAACAAAGATAGATAGATAGATAGATGGATAGAGAGAGAGAGAGAGAGAGAGAGAGAGAGTGGGAGAGAGAGTGCGTGCATGAGTGAGTGTGTGCGTGTTTAAGAAGATGCTCGTATTCACTAATGCCGCGATCTGAAAATTTTCTCTCTTTTAACCCCCCCCCCTCCCCGCCCCACATTTTTACGAAAGTTAATAATACGTTGTCCTAGCTAAAAGTTATTTTTCCCGAACGACATGTCATTTGTTACCTAGAATGATGTATATATTTTTTAAGATTTACGAGCTTACCGCCAAATTCTTTTTTTCATCTGCTAGTTGAAGGAAAACTACACACTATATGGCCGTTAAAGTGTTGGTTTATGAAAGGGATGGTTTGGTCAAGTTTATGGTTCCCTTAAGTTTGTTTTATAGGTAGGTGGAGCTGTTGGTTTGCTATATTTTTTATAGCGGAAGTTACGTTAATCTTGATTTTTTACGACATCTCAAATGTCTTCGTAGACAATAATCTTGCTTTATCTAGGCATAAGGCTTATTAGCATGGATGTGAGCTTATTAAGATCGTATTTCGATAAAAATCAGATACCTTCGCGATCAATTAACTTTTACAAATTCTTGCTTAATTTTTCTCCCATATTTTCAAATAAATGAAGAAAGTAGCTTAATAACATGCATTATTATGACCGCACAATGTAAGAATTGTACTTATGAATAAATGTAAGCTAAATCAAGCGTTGAACATTGCAGTTGGAATCCTGTCAACAATTCAAGCTTTCACAAATAATGAATAATGTTTATTAAAATTATTAAGATTTTTAATACATTAAATAAAATAAATAAAATAGTGAAATTTAAAATTCAACATTACATAATTTGCAAATAAGTTGGAGAACACATTTTTACGTATAATTAATAGTTTTAAAGTTTTAAATAACTGGAAAATATTCTCTATTCGTTATATTTACATATAATTAAATGCTAGGATAATGTATCCCAGTGTAAATATAGATGTGGATGGAATAGAGTAATGTTAAAGGGTTAATATTCAATGCAAAATTAAACATCCATTAAACGCGTAAATTCACACCTATAAAATACCTAAATATTGTAAGTAAGTATGACGTTCTGTCATGAATTTCGATAAAATCTTTAAAAAAAAACAAAAAAATTTGTTTGTTATATAGGCCAACATTTTTAATACATTTCCATTTCTCTAGTATTATAAGTCATCGAGCTATTTAATTTATTCTCGCTTATGCAAATGAAAGAACGAGAGAAAAGAAATTACGAGAGATTGGACAACATTGTTTGGCAAGTTGTTATAAGCGTCCGTTGCTGAATGAAAAAATGCTACTAGTGAAAATTCGACCTTCTAATGTTAACTTTACTTTTGGCTCTTTGACTGTGATGGAAATCTTTTAAGCACTACGCTCTCATTTCCATTTAGCCTTACAAAGACAACAAAAAAAAAAGAAAAAAAGAAAACCAAAAATACGCCGCTCCCCAGACTTTGCATTTTTGTTTGTCTGTCGTTTCGACAGTTATGCGTGACTCGTGTTATTTCCACGACTTCCGTTTTGCTGGTACGCTAGAAGAGACACACACAGAGAGAGAGAGAGAGAGAGAGAGAGAGAGAGAGAGAGAGGGAGAGAGAGAGAGAACTGACATGTACCCTAGTGCTATTTTGTCCTCTGTAGCAAGTCATCGTGGATGTTTCAGCGCAGTGATTATTTTTGGTTATGCTTATGCTGTTGGAAAAAGAGTTGCGAAGTCTCGTACAATTATCCTAACGAGGACATTACTCGTAAGTTAAGACAATCGCAATTGTACGATTTAAATTTATGTAAGTGCTTTTATGATTGGCCAGACTATTAGGCAAACAATTAACGCTTTCGTTGCGACGTATCGTGTAATCATTAGTTTATTAGGACGATACGAACCGATTATCATTCTATCAACTCTGATTTAATCAGTTTCTTTTTGTATACAGCCACGAGCACCAAAATTCACCTCCTCAAAAGAAGATCGGCAGACGGGCAATCTTATTATGATCCATATTAGGGGTGTAGCCTACGTAAATGTAAGGTAAATGTATTCTTAAGGAAATTAATAATGTTGTGAGAAAGGGCAGTTGAGAAAGCTGCAAAGGACAATGAAGTAACAACGCTTTTATTCGACTTGTGCAATACCTTATCTCAAGCAGCAATGATAGTCGAAGAGTTATTATCTCAACGTAAAGACTATAGGCAGTGACTGGCAAATAGAATCCAAGACTGCGTAGGTGTGGATAACCAGTGCCGAGGAAAATCTTGACAAAAAGGGTTGCCAACGGGTGATAAGTGCTGGGCTCGTCAATAAAAGCCTGGGTCACCCGTCACTAAAAGTGCTGGGCAACAATAGTCGACCGAAGCTCATCACGCGTACGTGCCGCGGCGGCTGATTAATTTGTTACGTACCCGATTACACACCTCGCATCCTGTACTTGTGATTTTGAGATGTCGCGGGTT